AAGTGAGTCGCTGGAGAGTGGTGTCAGGCCGGACATACATGGGCACACTGGGAGGTTCCTATGTGGACAGGATCATAGTGAATGGAGACTACGATGCAGAACGAAGTGACTATGATGTGGCACTGATGAGACTCAGCAGCCCAATCACAGTGGGAGGTTAGACTTTAACTTGAAAACTCACCGACTAAAATCACTGCTCCTTACTGATTTGTATATTTATTAGCATATTGATTACCTTACACTGTAGAGTCTGTTGTTGAAATTTAAACCTCAACAGTCCTGATGAAGTAAATATAAATTAAGTAGGCTTTACTCTATTACCCTCTAGTGGTATATTTGTCAAACAACAAGCTCTTCACTGTAGATTAATTCAGCCAGTGTAATCATTTGGTAACTGACTTTTAACTGATAATAATAATTCTTTTTTCAAAATGAATGCACTGCCCCTGTCTTTCAGTGGGCCATAAGCCGGTTTGTCTGCCTCCTAAAGCCTTTGACCTCCCAGCCAAATCCTCCTTGGTTGTGACTGGCTGGGGATACCTGGAGGAAAACGGTGAGAAACCTACACACTGCCTCTCATCATCGTCGTCAACTGGTTGTCCGAAGTTGGCACCATAACTCACTCTTTTTTTCTGACTCCAGGTAAGGTTTCTCCTTCGCTTCAGAAGGCCTCTGTCCCTCTGATAGACCGGGCTACATGTTCCAGCCCATCAATGTATGGTGGTGCCATAACCCAAAGGATGATCTGTGCTGGTTTCCTGGAGGGGAAAGTAGATGCCTGCCAGGTAACGGTCCACTAATTCTAGTTACAATCAATATTGATCAAGATTCCAAAAATAAAGATCATCTGATATGTAAATTAAATTTTAATTTAAGTTCAGTACTAGTCATAGTTTGTGGAATCATCCAATAAGACTGTTCTCTTTTGGCAAATGGTTTGGTTATTAAATTGCTGTAAAATGTTATTGTTCTGTAATGAATCCCAGGGGGACAGCGGGGGTCCTTTGGTGTACTTCACCTCCTCTAAATGGCATCTGGTTGGAATAGTGAGCTGGGGCGTTGGCTGTGCAAGGCAGGGAAGGCCGGGTGTCTACAGCAACGTGGAAGAGATGATAAACTGGATTTACACAGTCATTGAGGTACAGCATACAGAAAATGCTAAGTTTCTGTGTCTGCAAGGTCCACTTACCAGCTTTTTCTGTAGCTTTCAACTACATCACACAGTCTGCCTTAAGAGGATGTAGTTTGCTCAGTTCAACTGTATTGCACTTGGTTGAATTGATAAAACTTATGAAGCTCCAGAAAAGCTAATAAGTGGACCTGAATGAAAATTATGGTATGAGGTCTGGGAGGAAATCATATCACAACAAAATTATTTCCACCTGTAGTAGCTCTAGTTTTAAAAAGTTTGTTGTTAACATGAAACTACAAGACCAAAAATGAGAATTGCAATGCATGCAAAGCCCTTCTGGTAATTTTTATTTAATCCCTCCAGAAAAACCCCTGAGGTCCTCCAATCCAGTCTACCTTGGACAGACTGTGAAACCAAAAGAACGCTTTTGTTTCAATGTGGCTGACTAATGATGGGAGCCAGAAGGAGGGAAAGAGGAAGTCGAAGATCAGTCTCAGCAACAACACAAAGGAACTGTTAAACACAGCCATAGATAAAAACAATGCACACACACCACACGCTTCACACAAACTTATTTCAGGTGTTGTTTGTGCCATTTCAGGTTCTTATCTCAGGAGACAAGTGTATTTATGTTTGTTATCCGTTGGTGGCCAGTCTGGGATGTTTTTAGCTTTTACAATGTTGTCATTTGACAGACACAGTTTGCCGATTCATGAGTTTTGTTTTAACTGTGAAAACAAGACTGGCGGACCTCAGACATAATGTACTTGACTACTTGATTTTCGGTGTGCAATGTGATACGAGGGTTCATATGTTAAACTGCTCTGTAAAGAAAGGTGACAGACAGGGTAAACCTATGATATATTAATGCCAGCAGAAGTCACTGTGAAGCCTCAGGTTAATATCACCAATACTGTAAAAGTGACACCAGGAGTTTAATGCATTTATTGTGCTGATTCAGTTGATCCGATGTGTATCCCTATTAATGGTTAAATGCACCTTTTTACAGCACATAGGGTGTGCTTGCTTCCTCCCACAGATTATTTACATGAGCACTTTACGTGGAAGGTGGGAATTTATTGGCCTTACTATATGTACAGATGAGTCCAGTAACTAGTCTAATAATGCACTGAAGGCTATAACTCAAGTCACACGTTATGTGTTTATGGTGCCACTACATTCAAAGTGCAATCAGATATCCAGCGTGCATTTACAAAACTCGCACCATGGCCAGAATATTCAGTGGTGGTGACTAAGTTTTTGCCTTCTAAAAGGATATAAATGTAATTTCCTACAATTTTAAAGCAAGCATCAAGTAATCATTCCATTTGTAGCAAAGTAAAATAATACATCAAGCTATGTTTTTTTTTTTATCATTCTCTGGTCTATAGAGACGGACACAAAACAAGCATAAATTTCCAAAATTGAAAGTAATAGTTAACATTGTATACTGTGTGAGATTATAAAATTATTAGCCACAGGTTGGCTGGTAACATTTAACTGTATATATGGTACATTTTATATACTTGTAAATAAAGACATTCTTCTTTCACTTGGCAATTAGAACAAATGCTTTGTGACACAACTTGGTATTCTTTGCAAGTGTTATGTGTTGGAAACTGGATCTCTCCTTTATTCCATCATTCAGTGTCGTCCTCCCACGCACACACCCTCTGACCCGCAGTTAACAAAAGGAACAATGGGAACATATGTAAAGCATTATATCAATTGTGAACAAAAGATGACGCAAATGACAATTTTCATAAACAATCAGTTGAACTTAAAGTGACATGGTATTGTGAAAGAAAGTGAAATTGCTAAATCATCGGATGAATATAAAATAACTTGATTACTTTAAAAGACTGTTTGGAAGAGCTTGACTTGCTATGCTACATCTTGACAAGATCCTTATTTTGATAAATGAAATGCACCCTCAAGTTTTCAACTCTAACATAACATGACACGATTCTTCCTCTGCCACCAAATGCCTTGGACTCTATTATACCACCCCCCTATGGTGGATAAGTGTAATTTTCTGTGTGACCAGTTTTCTTTCTTTACCTCAAACTTTTCACTTTTCATTTCTCCCGTTGACCTGCAGCAAAACCACTTTCACCTGCAATACAGAAGAAGGAGCGCCGGCTCCATTGTTGCTTGTACAATGCTGTACAATCTAACAATTTCAATCAGACAAATTACTTATTCAGTGAGAAGTGAAGAAACACAGCAGAGAAGAGAGAGCCAGTACAAAGAGCCAAGCAGGAGCAAGAAGTGAGAATTACATTTCCTTTGCCACATTTGTCTCTGTAAGATTTATCCAACATCCACAAGCCTGTTTCTATGACTGTAGCCACAACCTTTGAGAGGGAGTCATAGACCATTATTCAAAAACAAAGAGACAGTTGATTATGTATGAAAAAAACATTTATTATTTACTGAATATCAGAGGACTACAAAAGCCAATGACAAAACCAACAATGTTGATGTACAGTAGCAGATAAGCTCCACCAGTTGGTAGGTTCAGATGGGGGATAGCAAATGACCCACCTCCACTTTGCCCCCTAGCTAGTGTTTAGCCTAGCCCTTTCACCTAAGCAACAATAGCTGTCCAGCGTAATTAATTATTGTCAACATTAGGAAGACTGGGTGCTGCTGATAAAATTGAAACATGCACTTTAAAGTCCTTCTGAACAATATTGCAGCAGCTCACTTGCTAATTAGCATTTACAGATCTTTTGGAAAATCAACATTAACAAGTGTTACACATAAGATGGTTATCTCCTTGTTTGACGGCTGGGGCCTTTGAATGGGTTATCCTGTATCACGGGGAAAAAAAGAGATTAATAAGGAAAAAGGATTAAAGAAATGGCCTGGGACAAGTGAAAAGTTACGATAATCACAATAATTACATAGTTAAGCTCATTTTGTGTACATAAAGTGTATTATGTGAGATTAACGGGGCTTTCACACCTACCTCGTTTGGTCCGCACCAAAATTGCAGGTGTGAAACCTCCCACGGACCATGGTCCGGACCAAACAGACGAAATTTGGTCAGACGAAAAGAGGTAGTCTTGGTCTGGATCAAACTGAACCATGGTTCAGTTAGTGTCTGGTGTGAAAGCATTTTTTGGATGGTTCGGACTTTAGACTATTTACAGAAGTTTGGCGGTTGATGTGTAAACCGGAAACAAACAAACGCACGGGGAAATGCATTGAAATAAGGACACAATTATAAATCTCCCGTGACAAATCATCTTTTCAAACAGACGGCCGCTATAGAAGCAAAATGCCACATGGGCCTACATCTTTGGTTTCTCATGAAACGGAGGTGCAGAAGGATTGCTTGCGGTCTTCTCCTCCTTTGTGTATATATATATATATACACACACACACACACACACACACACATACATATATGTAAAGACCTTTAGTGCGGTTGCAGAATTGCAGTTTGTGAAACCAAACCAAAACTAACCGAATGTATCAAAATGTATCAAAACATGAACTTTGGTTCGGACCTTGGTGCGGACTTTCAGGTGTGAAAGCCCCCTAAGTGTAGGGGTATACATGTTTGTTAAAAATATAACACTAAAAGAGATTCAGATCAGTTTTGATTCCCAGAAAACGATATGGTTACATAGTTTACAAATTTTACAGGTAAAGTCACTTTTCACCAATGTAAAAAAGAAACATGCTAAATCCAAGGAAGGTTAAAATCAAGGCCAACTGGAGAGGCGAAACATCTGGGAGTATCTTCAACCAAGTCTAGCTGCCCTTGATTTTAACGTTCCTTGGATAACTGTGTCCTGGATGACTGAGAACCTTCACAGACAGACATGCTAAATCATTTTCTCTGATCTCTTTTTACCTCATCTTCATCACTGTCATCAAATGCGACTCCTCTAGATGACTGGCTCTGATTCTGTGAGCTGTACTTCGTGAAGGATGATGACGATGTTGGTCTGTGGAAAGAGAAAGACCTAGATTTATAAATAAATAAATAAAACCTTCAAATTGTAAAAATATACAGCTGATGGAAAAAAGAGGGAAAGAACAACTGCGTGTGTATGTGTATATATACATATACTGTGCAAAATTTAGACATCTGTTTGTCACTACATTTTTTTTCTCCCTTGAAGAACTGGACTACCATATTGTGGACCGAAACAGACATACTTTGGAGGAGGTCGGGTAGCTTTCATTACAGGTATATCTTCATCTGAGTCATCAATGGTCACCTGGAGGTGGATAAAGATGAGATTCAAGGTTGGAGGATTGTACAGTTCACATACAGTTTAAAAATAAGGTGTGCGTGTACTGTAAACTGTACTGTTTGTGTTGTCATTTGACTTACTTCTTCTGCTTTGTAAGATGTGGCGGCTCCAGACCGAGATGATCTCTGGGATGTAGCTTGAAATGCTGAAGAATGAAGTTTAATGAAGTTTAAAGAAGAGGAAAGAGAAACACACTGAGGGAGGACTAAAGGTGAAAGCAAGGAAGAAACTGAAACTGATGAGGACCAGTAAGAAGTGGTAATATCAGGTCTGGCATAACAGAGTTGTATACAGAACATTGACTTGTGTCTGTATATCAGTGGTTCTCAAACTGGGGCGCGGGCCCCCTTGCGCCACCATAGAGCCGCTGTATGTGCCAACGACCAGGGGAAAAATATGTGGAATGAACATGATTTATGTGGAAAATAAAAAAATGTGCTGACCTGAATTATTTATTTTATTTCAACTGAATTCAACTTGGCTCAATTTTTATTTGTTGCTGCATCAATATTGTTAATGATTTACAAGGAATCAATCCGTTTACATGTGTGGGGGAGTGAAGGGGGCAGTGGCAGAAATGATTTGAGAACAACTGCTATAGATCATCACACTCACAATCATAATCTCACACTCTCCTACCTTGCATAATGCTTCTGCTTTGGGTTGTTGCTGAGGGCTTCTGGGAACGGCCCCGGCCGGTTGGCTTTGGTTCAGAGGCAGTTGCACCTGGAAGAACAGGCAAACAGTTCAGAACAATGATTTTTGATGCCATACACATCATCATTATATACAGTCCTTTGTTTTCCTGCATTAAATGTAATTAAAGCCAATTACAATCAACATTATCAGTGCCGTGCTAGTGTCATATGTTATTCAAACAGCAATGCTTATTTTGTGTGCTGACAATATGAAGATTACACAAACTACAATAAGCACTTTTTGATCTTTGTCTAACCAGTTCCTTTTTATGTACAACTGTTATGCCAATGAAAACAATGCTTAATAGTGGACTTCACCCCCCAGTTTGTAACAGTCATATACGGAAGCGCATAGCATTCACCAAAGAAAAAAAAAAATGTAGACAACTTCTCTCGTAATTATAAGAAAAGATGTCATAATTAGGAGTAGGGCTGGGCAATAAAGCAATAATGATAATTATCACAATATAATTTTCCTCAAAAACAATATAATAAATGTTCAATATATGGTCAATAAATATTTGGTTTAATTTATTTGAATCACAAACATATTAGCACTTAACTTTTCTAATAAAATATTTATTTTGTAGAGGAAAAGGGACTGAAAAACAATTTACTAATCTTATTTGTTAAATTTTTTTAAATCATAATAGTTTTGAATGTTCTCCCTCAGATTTGTTAAGTGATCCAGTGTTTGGCATCGAGTGTTTTTCCCATTCTGACCATAAAGAAAGATTAACCACATAATTAATAACTGGACATATATTGTGATAATTATGGATATCATATGCTATGAAATGTTTTCATCGTGATAACAATTTTGGCCACATTGCCCAGCCCTAATTAGGAGATCAGGATCTCTAATATTACAAGGTGAATATTAGCCTTTCAATATTGTAGTTAAACCGTTATCTATAAACCTTCTATAAAGTCTTCTAGCAACAAATTGTCTAACTTAAAGCATCTGCATTTTTGGAAGTATCAAGCTGATAACTTACGTTACTGTGGCTATGCAGTGGTTCTACTGAGCAAAGCAGTGGCCAGTAAGTGGCATCTTTCCAGCTGTCACATAATTAGGCTACTTCATCCAGATTTTGTAATTATGACATCTTTTTTCCTATATACAAGATAAGGTATCTAAAAAATGTTTATTGTTGAATGCAATTTGCTTCCGTACTCATAAGCTAATGGTTCAATAAATATAGTGTGTAACATCTAAAAGGTTTGACTTCCCTCTGCTGGAATTTAAGAGGAATGTGGCTGAACAGTATTAAAGTTGTTAATTTCATGTGAGGCTCCAACATGTATTCTCAGAGATTCAATACAATACAAATCCATTAAATAAAATCATTATTGGCTGTGTTAAATTCCACATTATACTCTTGCCAGTCTTCTTCAATCAAATACCTGTACCAGAGTTTATCACATGACATATTATTAACCTCTTGTGCTGTAGGTCTAGCCTATTAAATCCTCCAAGGCTGTTCTAGGCTGTTATAGATGTACATTCTGATTAAATGAAGTCTCTTACTTCCTTTGCAATTATGTAGTTTGTATACAGAGCATTATAATCAATGCATATTGTGAATATTTCTACCTTGTCTGCGCACTGTGTATTTCTCTCTGCACATCTATTTCCCCTTCATACTTGTGACAGAGAACATGATAACTCACCTTTCCCCCTTCCCCGGCCACCCCGCGCCCTGCTGGCTCGCCCTCTGCCTCGCACAGGGGGAGAGAATGGGACTGAGCCTTCATCAGAGTCCATAGCATCATCAGCAAGCTCATCAAATATATCCAGGTCTGCAGGCTCACGGTGAGCTTTGGCTCTGTTGAAAGCCTGAGAAAGAGAGGGATAAAGCACACACAGTTAGACGCAAGAGACATGACAACATCTTTAACTTTTGTGTATTCATTACTTACTTCTCTGATTTCATTTTCTTCCTCAGTTGTGTTCTTTTTGGAGTCTCTGTATAGCCGGATCTGAAAATGTAAAAACATGCACTCTTACTTAGAAAACTTACAACATCAGTTTCTCCCTACTTCCCATGCCAGCCCCCACTGCCTTACCTCTGTGTCTATATCCTGCTCTGTAATTACTCCTCTGGCCTGGAGGTGGCGCTGTGTCTTCTCTAACTGGTAAGTGATCAGCTCCTCGATGGCGTCTTTCTCATCTTTGTCCACAAACTCCTGAATAGCCTTCCCCATGCCCTGCTCCGTCAGAAGGGACAGCTGCACTGTCTGTGAAGATATGCACACACACACACACACACACACACACACACACGTTTCCAAAGAATAGACGGTTAAAACATATAAGTTAAGACATAAGCGTTAAGAATGTAAATCTGTGTGTGTACAGCACCTGTTCGGCTGCCTCAAAGTACTGTTTGACCAGGTCCTCCACTCTCAAACCCTCAACTGCTGTGGTTTTTAACAGTTTGCTGTAGTCAACATTGACATCATCTAAGAAGCACAAAGATTGAAGCATGTCAAGTAAACAATACTATACGTCAACCCTTTAGTGAATACTGTAGATCCATAGCACTAAATTTAGTCTGTGTCAGACCTTTGATATCCTCCTTTTGCTCTCGGTGTCTAAGAAAGTGAATGAGGTCTTTTGGGTTGGCTATGCGGTCCACAAACTTCTGACTGAAGCGAGAAGTGTTGAACGTCTCAAAGCCTCCACTGTAGTCCACCTGGGGAAGGGAACGAAGGGGACGAATTTGAATGTGTAGCGTGAATATGGAGGCGTTCGGCCACGCTGCAAGTGTGTACATCTTACCCTGAGGCGAATAAGAGGTTTCTCTGGAGTGAGAGGACAGCCGAGTCTTTCTCTTTCAGCTTCTTCTAACATCTCTGTGACCTTAAGAATTACAGAAAGAGAGAAAGGGGGGACATATGAGGATCAAGAGGGGTAAGATGGCTGATGAACAGATGAAAGACTGGCCCTGTATGTTTGTCGGAGTGTTACCTTTGCATAACACAAGCTCTCCACCTTCTTAGTGACCTGGGGTGTATCAGGTGTGAAGAGGTCTTGGTAGTCAGCCAGCACTACATCCTGAATGAAGAACTGACGCGCCGTCTTAAGGGGGATCTTTTGCAGGTTCATCTTACGACCCTTCACCCTCAGCAGCCCTATGTGCCTAGATCCACACAAACAGGGTGTTTTGGTTACTTTATCACTTTAAAACATGCTCTGAATATTGAGCTTACTATCCATTGTGTATGTGTGTCTGTGTTCTTGTGCGTTAATTTTTACTTCTTTGCTGCCTCTCCAGGGGACAGGGAGGTGGCTACAGAGCTGCCAGGCTGTGTCACGTAGAAGAGCTGCTGTTCATTTCTGGTCGGTGTTATCAAGCACTCATGCTCGTGACCCCACACGACCAAGTCAAGAAATTCATCCAGAAACTGCTCAGGAATGTAGTTAGTGGGTCCGTGCTTGCTCCTAGGAAAAAAAAACACAGAGAGAAAATAAATATTAAACGAATAAGATGAAACACGAAAATACAGCAGTCATAAAATTAATAACTAAACCGAGCTTTGTGAGGTAGTGCAGTAAAGATTTACAATCCCCAATGCATGTAGAACATATAAAGCTATTATTCACCCTCTTTAAAAAAAACAATGTAGATTTTTCACCACCAAAACTTCCCTCTCCCGCACGCATATTCTAATCTGTCGAAGGACATAGTGTGAGATACATGGACATACAGTATGACAGTCTGGCACGTATATCTAATGTTGTCGCATTTGGTAGTGTATGACAAAAATTTACAGCTCTTCCCTCCCAGTGGGTCAGACTTTCCTACAACATACAGTACAAACGCATGCGCACACCTGTTCTGGTGGATGGTGAAGAGGTTAAACCATTCATCTTGGTCTTCTTTGGGGCGAAGCATCGTTACCTGGTTGTTGACAAACATCCTGTACAAGCGCTCATCTGGGATGGAGCCTACACACACACGCACGCGCACACAACTTAGAATAAAACAACAATTCCTATTTTTATAAATCATGGAAGAATGCGTACAAAGATTACACAAAACACACTTACCAAGACCATACAAGGCTAGCTTGGTGCTGCCTTTCTGCATGAGGATGGGACTAATCTCTATCCGCTCCACTGACTGGGAATGACCAAAGTGATTGACAAGACCAGAAGCACTTAGCAGGTCCAACGCACACAAACCTTCAGCCTTGAGGGGGGGAAAAGTATAAATGACATTAAAACAAGCATACAGGAACAACGAAACAGAGGCAAACTCTTTCATATTAAGATCTTGTGTTGTGTGTGTGATAATTTTCTTTTATGTTGGAAGCAACTCACCCCAGTTGGGTCATCATGGTTACCGTGAATGCTGAATGCAGGAATAGAGATGTTCAGGTTTTCATCCTGATAGTTTACCCAGGGGAACCTACAGCACATCATGCAAACAACATTAATATAACATTCACTGAACAAGAACATAATGTTTTGTAAGAATGACCACGCAAAAGCAGCGATACTGACTGGGTTGTGTTGAAGTTGATCGTCTGGTCACTGAGAATGTTGAAGTGTATGGGCGTGTCTCCCATGCAGTATTTTCTTAGCATAGTGATGCAGTTGTGGAGGCATCGTCGTGATGGCTTGTTCTCATGGAACAAATCACCACCCAGCAGGATGAAGTCAACCTGCAAGCAAACAAATAAGCAAAAAGAAAGCAGCAGGAGTTTTAGAACAGGTAGACTCTGGGATGTCCATTCAAGCACACATAGATCAGTTTGATTTACTGTTTTCATCCATGTGACCATCATACATACACACATACATCAGCTTGCTCGCACCTGATTTGTCTTGGCACATTTCAGGATCTCATCCAGTGTGTTATAAGTGTCATTGCCACGGATAGCATCCTTCTCGAGGTAACCAAGGTGAATATCTGTGGCGATCAGGATCTTGAAGGTATGCTCATCATCCCTAGAAAGACAGCACACAAACAGTCGTTTAAAAGATCTCATCTACTAGATTATTCTGAATCAGGATCGAAAATTAGCATCCGTAACTTGCTAGACTGCACTGTAGATTGCCTAGATGCAAAGATTATTTATTTAGATAGATTTCAGGAGTTCTGTTAAAATCCAACAATCACAATCACAAAATATTTGGCATAAAAGTAATAATTTAAACAAACTCACAAGGTGCTCTCCGACGACATGATGCTGTGGGATGATGGGATATCTGTTTACACCCGACAGGTGGTCAGCAAAAGACCTCCCTGCACACAATCCAGTGACGTTATATTTAGCGCTGGACCTCTTGTCGAAAAGTTACAGAGGTTATTATGCGACACATTACAGAGATGCTAACGTTACAAAATATCACAAGGACTGCGTTAACGTTACATATGCTACAGCTAATACAAATGGTGATTACGTTTGAGCTTGGGAGTCAGTAAGTTAAAAAAATCATGAAAGCATTATTGTCAGGGTTTACAAAACAAAAGCCATGTTAATAAACTCGGTCACCAAACAATATATTTTACGAGACATTATAATACATTGTGTTTTATTATATGAGTCTATCTAATAATCAGCTCGTAAATTAGTAGCTAACTGTAACTTGTAGCTAACTGAATGGCATGTTACTGCGAGAATGGCGAGTTAAAGTTAACGTAACGTTAGCTTTTACTTGTGCTAAAAAGCAAGTTGTCAACGCGATATTAGCTAACACGAACTTAACTTATGTTTACATATAGGTTGCGTCTAACCTACAAGTAATGTGTATGTTAAACGTTAGTATTTGTTGTGTATGCTATAACGTACAACGTGGAGGAAATATTGCATGCCACCCACCTCCTCTTCAGTCCCAGAATTGGTAAACTTACCATAAAAATCCCGGCAAGTCTTGCAAACGCTCTCCCCGCCCCTCACAGATAGCTCAGAGTTATTGTAGTTTTTTCTGAAGCATCACCGTTCTGAACTGCAGAATCTCTGCGGAAGGAAAACTACACTTCCGGTAAGCAAGTGGTATACGTCTGTTTTAATGATAAAGGCGTACCGATCTAGCTAAAACGTCAAATATAACGTTGATGTGGATGCCAGCAGCGCCTGACGGGCCAGGCTGGGATATATATCATTCAAACCTCTCACAAACGCAGGATTATGCTTGTTTGTCAAGTGATGTTTTCTTTACACAACCCATAGTACCACTGACAGCTCTAGAAATGGCGCATAGCGAGCAGGCTGTCAGTCATAATTAAAAAGGCACTGGCTGTAGTTTTACTTTTAAAAAAGCATATTTATCGCAGTTTGGTCCCTGGTTCAGCACAAGCGAGGCAGACTGGATTGGCTGCATTTCAATGGAGACTCTGTCAAAAACACCCGCTGCGGATGCTGCGCGGAAGAAGGTAGCTTTACCATATTTTGCCTAATTTAACTTAAAAATGAAGAACAAATGCTGCTGGTCGCCGTTTATATTGGCCGTAGAGTTAGCTAGACGAAGACGGAAAGCTACCTAGCAGCAGTTGCTACAACTCGGAACAGCTGATGCTGCAGACCTAGAAAGCACACTGAAGTTTCAACTTAATGTGTTTTATTTGACTTGAGCAGGGAAAACAAATCATGTTGTACCATTCAGTTCAGAGCATGTATGGAAGGTTTTAGCTCATTTATTTCACTTTCTGTACTTAATTTGCTGGTTATTGCTCATGCTGAGAGGCTACTAACTCTACAATATCTCCATTAGGCCTACTGATACTGGTATCATAGTATTGAAGATCCACTATGTCTGTATTATTCGCCAGATACTGTGGTTGCATTCAACATTTACCCCTCTTTCTACAGGTGATCTGTCCACCACCACCACCACCCAGTGGAGTAGTATCTGACAGCCTGTCACTCCCATCTTATAAAGAGTATCCTGTGCACCGTCCCTTCATCAACACACTTGTACATCACACACCCCAAACACGCACACATCAGTCATGTCATCCATTATCACCCAGCAAGGCATTCCCAGAGACCAGCAGCGCAGGTATCTTTAATTTGTATGTGTGTGGCTGGTTGTTTTCCTTTTGCAAAGTTTCCATTCAGGTATTGTGGTGTTTCAGCGCTCCATGGTTACATCATGTGCAACATGATGCCGCACTACTTGAATGTCTCAGCTGCACTGACATCTATTCATTCTTTCACATGATCCTGTCTAAAACTTCCTCTCCTACTCTACTATTCTATTCTACCTGCTTAAACCATGACTATAATCTAAATATCTTTGAAAGCTATCAGGATATCTCCATATGCTACACATTCTCATAACTAATCTCTCACACATAATCTGTGTGTGTGTGTGTGTGTGTGTGTGTGTGTGTGTGTGTGTGCATGCATGCATGTGTGTAGCGATCTTGTCTGCCTTGAGGAACCTCCAGGAAAAGATCAGGAGGTTGGAGTTGGAGAAAGGACATGCAGCGCTCAGTCTGCACACTATGGGGAAAGATGCATCACGCACACATCTGCAGAGTGATAAAGCCACACAGAGACTCTTAAGTGATCAGACAGACACAGAAAAAGAGATAAGTGGCCCGTCCAACTGCAACCAAGGTGGGTGTATGAATGGGATTTAATAACTTATTGGCAGACATGATTTATTGTTTTACTTTTTATCTCTTCTTTTTTTGTGTGTCTTGTCTCAGTGTGTCATTGTTCTTCTCCACAGTGTTGATCACCCACCTGGCTGCTGCAGAGTCCCGCTGTGTGAAGCTGGAGCGCCAGCTGGATCACATGAGGAGGATGTTGCGCAATGCCAAGGCAGACAGGACCAGCCTGCTCAAACAGCAGGTTAACCCAGTGTTCCTTAGTGCCATAGGATGTGCTATAGATGCTAGGACTTACACAAAAACACTCATGCAACTCATGTGTGAGTAAGTAGACTGGAAGAACTGCATTAATTGTTCTCTACATTTTCAGGTTTCCGTGGAGACAGGAAAGTCAGCTGATCAACAGTCTGACATGGTGTCTGAGCATGCCCAGTTGGAGAAGCTGCAGCGACTGGAGCAGGAGTATCTCAGGCTGACTCGCACACAAAACAATGCAGAGGTGCTCGCAAAGACACAGCGACATGTCAGTTAGAGGAGTCGCTGACTTTGACTACTTAGGTGCCTTGGTCTAAAATATTTCATTTCTGTGAAGACAAAATTGCACAAATTCTGGGGATCAGGATCGCCACATGGGTTCCCAATATACATCTTGAGTCACAATTTCATTAAGGGAGTTAAGAAAACAAAATAAATATGTATTTATTTTGTATATAAATGTAAAAATAAATATTTTTTATATATAAATGTATATATTTGATACAAGATTATTTGATTGTTTCATTTTTCCAAATATCTTGTGAAATGCTGAATGCTTTCATCCTTTCAGGTCTCTGTTTGGGAGGGAAAAGTCACTCTTTTTAACTGCTCGCAACTCATGTCCACACAAAGGCCATAAACCTATGAAGAGGGGTCACAAGCAGACATTGATAGGTTCTAAATGGTCACAAACCAAATTGTGTAGGATAAAAACAATTGATCTATCTCTGGTTCCTCAGATCAGTTTAGAAGTTATAAAAGTGTGGGTGTTTTTCACAAAGCTTATGTTTTAATCTCAAGATGGTAATGACAAGAGGGGGAAAAACTTAAATGCTCTTATGGTTAAATGACATTAAAGATTATTGTGTGTGTCTGAATATGTCAGATAAAGATCCGGGAGCTAGATATGAAACTACAGGAGGAGGAGCACCAAAGAAAGCTGGTTGAGGATAAGGCCAATCAGGTAACTGTGTTTCTCTTTAACTACCATTTTTTTTCCTTGCACTCGCTACAGCTTGTTATGTTTCTTATACCTGAAAGGAAGCTTAGTCTGTTGTTTTACATACAGAGTGCTTGATACTAAATGTACATGTTTCCACACACACAACACTACAAATTATGCATGTATGTATGTATGTGTGGAGATTTACGTTTAGTGTGTTGCTCAGCTGCAGACAGGTTTGGAGGCCAACAGGATACTGCTGCAGTCAGTGTCCCCTTGCCTGTCCACCAGACAGTCCAAAGAGAAGAGGTCCAATTCAAAGGTAAAGACCTTCACAGGGGCAGGTCAGGGTTTTACTAATGTTTGAGCGCACTGAGAATGTTTCTTTCTCTCTTTATGAGTAGATGTTTGAAGCAATGTGACAAGACAGCTGCAGTCAAGTGCTTCGCTATAGTGTTAGTACATCTGTGAGTGTCCTGTTGAATCAAGTAGGAAGGAAGAACATTAAGTGCATTTGTTAGGATATCCTGATACATTTTATATCATAAAAAGCATTAAATGAATGGAAGTTCCATTTTCTCTGCTTTTGTTTCTCACTTTATACTTTATAATAAGTAATAATTAATTTTTTCTCCACTTGATGTCATTATGAAATTAATATTTTTTGTGTGTTTGTCAGAAAAACGAAAAAGTTAAATATTTTGAACAGGAAATGACCGAATCAATACATTTGATAGATTTTCTGATAAGAAAAACAATCCTTAGTTGTGGCTTACTTCTTGCTCCCAAATTAGCACTTTCCTGTGGATCTTACTGTTTGCAGATGTCTTCACTACAGCAGTCGTCCTACACACAGCCACACTATAGATTGAGCTTCAGAGATATACCCTTTGTTGCTGGAACGGTAGTATGGGCATACATCCAGTTATGATTTTAGCATTGGAATAAAATGGTATTTACTGTACTTTTAATGCCTCACTTCTCTTTCTATGGCTCTCTCTGTCTCTCTCCTTGACTCTGTCTCCTCTTCTGCATGACCTTCAGTCAGTAGGCTGCAGCCACTCAGTCCGAGCAAACGTCCAGTCAGTTTTGTCTCTCCTGAAGCGACACCAGCCACACTTCTGCAACTGCCGTGTCCTTTCTAACAGCTACGAGACAGGTAGTCGCAGGCATTCAGACAGTTCCTCTTCCTCTTCTTCCTCCTCCGCTAGCGGGGAAGACCTATCAGAGCTGCTGCAAGCGCTACAGGAGGAGCTGCGACTCATGAGCTTGTGAGTGTAGTGGCATTTGAGCTCTATAAGGAGTGAATTGTTTAGAACAGTGTTACATTTAATTTCTCTGTGCGTGCATGTGTGTGTTTGTTTGCAGGGAGCAGGACGAGTTGATGAGGCAGGTGGAGGCCAGTGTTTCTGAGCAGGAAAGGAAAGAACTTCAGAGGGAGCAGGAGAGGCTGCTGCTGAAAATGGAGAGGAAAGGAGAGCAGATCAGTAAGCTCTACAAACACAAAACACAGGTAGGTTTTCGAACAAAAAACAATTCAGTTCAAGCACAACATAAGCTGCAAAACTAAGCTATTTTATTTAGTGACTCCTTCCCTTTATCTATTCTTGTCTCTCTAGATAAAGAAGTTAAGAAAAGAGGCTACTTCCAGGCGGAGCAGTGGGAATGAGGTGAGGTTGACCACCACAGTGTCCACTAGAGGCCACTCTACTGGAGCAGTCAAAGTCAGACCAGGAGAGAGAAGCAAGAGGAACCTGAGGCTGCTGAGGGACATGAAGGCTCTGCAGACCTCACTACGGACCTGAAACCCACCAGGACAGTGCATTAGGGTAATGTTGTTGCTTTGTACCTATCTATGGCCATTCTTTCAGCATCAACACAGCAACTGACTGATGAACACTACAGAATATGGCACACCAGCCCATCTAAAGCAAGTGTCTGTTAATGATCTTACGACCTATGATCCTTGGGGAAAATATTTGTATATTTTACTGTATTAGGAACAGTGTAACACATCTGGAAAGTGTTTCAAACCAGAACTAAGTTGTCTTGTCAGTCCAGGAAAAGTGCATTTTATGAAA